AACCTAATTTTTCCAATTAGGGTTTACTAATCACACCTGGGAATTGTTTTATTGAATATGCCAATAAAAGTTTAAAAATTTCAGCTATATTAAATCCCAAAGCACATACTCAAGAATGACTTTAATATATTTCTCAAACTGAACATTCGTGTAATCTTGCTGTCATACCCCTGGTGGAATTTTAAATGGAGTCGCTTAAAAAAATATGAATGACCAAAAGAATAGTCAGACTAAAATATCCTCCGAGATGTGAAATATAATCCCAATGTTTGAGATTAAAGTTGATTAGTTACATGCAAATATAATGTTATTGTTTTGAAACTCGTGGCCGCCTCCGTGGTGTAGTGGTTAGAGCGTCCGCCTGTAGAGCGGAAGGACGCCGGTTCGATCCCCGACCGCGTCATACCAAAATACGTTAAAATATGGTACTTGATGGTCCCTGCCTGGCGCTCGGCATCAACAAACACACGTGCGTGTTTTTGAATCTCTCACCGTCAATCGCATGATTCTCATTAAAAACTTCATAATATGCAGCAAAATCCTGTTAGCTACGTTCTTTGTACTTTCAAAATCAGCGATATATATTGTTCATGATTTTTTAAACAATGACATAATGCCATAAACGATTTAAGTACTCGGGATTATTTTTATCAAAGCACCGCGGTCATTTGCGCGCGTTTTGATTGGTTTGTCGAGAACAAGCATCAAGAGGGGGACGAGTCTTCTTGGAGTTTACGAAAAGGGGCGAGTGGTGACGAATGTTCGTCAATCGTCAAGCAAATCCACATGACCAAGGTAGATAACTCCTCCTAAACTGATAGAACCTGATGCAAACAGCGAGGATTGTACGTCCGCTTTGGTCCATTTTACTACTATTTGATTGAAAACCTGTTTTTGTCTGAAACCATGGTTTTGTTTCAGGACCGGTATTGGAACTGTCTAATCTCACTGAGGCTATCTGTTACTGAATATGATCAAACACATATCTTGATGGTGCAGCTTGGAGCAGACGGCAACATTTCCAGAGCTTGAATTCCGATGAACCCCCAGGATCCATTCCACTGGTTCCTTGTGATCGCAGATTACCTTCCCTTGAAATCCCCCAAGCAAATCACCACCCTCATTCGTCACCGCACGGTGCCTCCTTTCCGTAACCGAACCGTAAAGATTCGTGTTAGAATTGGTATTTAGTATCCCATGCTTGTCTTAGGAGGCGACTAGCGGGATCGGGTGGTCAGGCTCGCTGACTCGGTTGACGCATGTCATCGGTTCCAAATTGCGCAGATCGATGCTGATGCTGTTGATCACTGGATTATTTACAGACCGCCGCCATATAGCTGGAATATTGCTGAGTGCGGTGTTAAACAACCAACCAACCAACCAACCCTTTCCGTAACCTCCAAGAAGTTCTTGTCGTGAGGAATAACACGAAGGGGTCACGAGGTGAGGTGAGGTGAAATTGGGCATGCCGCAGTGAAGCACGAATACCCAACTCAGACACATTATACTGACTCCGAGCCGACCAGTCCTTGATGTACCCATTAATGCCGGGCGTCAGGCAGGGACCAACAAGTACCATATTTTAACGTCTTTTGGTATGACGCGGTCGGGGATCTAACCCGCGACCTTCCGCTCTCCAGGCGGACGCTCTAACCACTAACCACGGAGGCGGTCTGAAGGGGTCACGAACAATGGGAGAGGTGTATCTTCAGAATTCAGTCCTTTCCTGATAAATCAACAAACAACCAACAAAACGCCCAATTGTAATACTATTTTCATTATGAACACGAAACCTTCGGCTTTTGAAAAATAAACAAAACAAACAAAAACTGATATTGCATATAAAACACCTCGTATGGAAGCATCCATTTTGAGTTGGTGTACCTACATTGGATATTTTCCCAAAGCTGTATACAAGAGACAGTAGTTCGTATTTTTTTCACTGTGTGCCATCAAAGTCTATTATCAACTGTCATGGCGTTTGACGTCAACTCTTTTCACGTTTAGGTATTATCACAAATGAGGTAACTTCATGTTCAGTGAACACGAGCCTATTTGTTGACATGGTTATCTTTCACTTATAAAACAGACATTAAAAACTAAACATAAAAGTTGAACAAACATTTATTTGGAGCATTTTATGACCATGTTATTCATCTAAAAGTTCCCATCCCTCCCAGGACAATAACCGATGCTTCTGTAGCAAGTACCAACTGACGCATTCTTTCCAAATTCTAAAGTAAATAAATAAATAAATAAATAAATAAATAAATAAAAATAACACGCCTCTGCCTTCGACGAAACAATTTACAAGGGCCCCATGCTACAGTACGTATATGACTTTTAAAAAAGGTGATGAGCGAACGCTTTAATCGCTTGGCTGACCCATCGCCCCACGAGTTTAGTATGTCGTCTCGCGTTCAAGATAATGGCACTTACAGTGAACATAGGTTTACGCCGCGCATCGCAATATTCAATCAGTTTGTATTCATGTCGGGAATCGAACCCGGGTTTTCAGCGTGATGAGCGAACGCTTTATCCACTAGGCTGCCACACTTGCCACAATGGTATGTAGCGACGTGACTTCTCTTGACTGGTGTCATGATACCCTAGCAAGGTATTCCGCTAACGGTTATGAGTGAGTGAGTGAGTTTAGTTTTACGCCTCTTTTAGCAATATTCCAGCAATATCACGGCGGGGAACAACAGAAATGGGCTTCACACAATGTAACCATGTGGGGAATCGAACCTGGGTTTTCAGCGTGACAAGCGAACGCTTTCACCACTAGGCTACCCCACCGCCCCTCTAACGGTTATGTGGGCGCTGTGTAGACTCATAGTTAAAGCGTTCGCTTTTGACGCCGATGACCAAGTTTCGAATCCCCAAATAGCTACAATGCGTGAAGCCCATTTCAGGTGTCCCTCGCCGTAATATTGCTTAAAACACGGCGTAAACCCTTACTCAAACCCTCTAACGATTGTTGCGCTGTATTTAAAGATGTATGAATGTCACAGGCAGTCTCACCTATATGCATTTCAACATTAAACCCTTCCCTAAAAGCTGGGCCTCGTCCAATAGAGAATATTTCCTTAGCTTTGTGATACGACTGCAAAACTGTGTCTAATCTGGTGACGTTGTCCTTTGACCTCAGTACTAGTTCCAGCAAAATTACAAAGGTCACATGGATCCCCATAGACGGACAAGCTTTAATCTCAATAAACATTGCGAAGTGGACAACGGTCGAGCGGCGTTGGTCAATTTCAGCCAAAACCTCTCGATTCATACTGCTGATAATATAATTGCACTTCGTATGGCATTGTTTCATGAAAAAATTAACAGCTGGTACGATAGTTCTCGTAAATTCTCGCGCGACCACACTGACAGAATATCTGGTGGGAACTGAACATCAGCCATTTAAGTTGACGATATCCAGCTAGTCCAAAACTAATAACTTGTGCTGCGGACAAGCTAAAATCTCAATGATAGTAGTCCATACGGATTAATTTTGTTAAAAATTGGAATTAAATCAAAGCTGAAATTTTCAAGAAAGATTGAATTTTCACTTCCGCTGTGAAGTGGTGTTCCCTTATTCGTTGCCATGAGTATATTTTGTCCAATTTGGGCAAAAATGACTTGCATCAAATTAACCAGGTCTTTATAGACCTCGCAGCTTTGCAACTTTGTTTGTATGACACTAAAGAAAAATGATTGATACATCTATTCCACACAAGCGGTTTGAAATATGATAAAAGATCAATGATTCTGTTAATCCACATTGTTAATACAATCATAATTATTGCAAATATTCAGTAATTAATGTCATCAGTTATTCTTGACTGAATGCATGCTGGCTTGGAATCTTCTGGAAAATACGAGCCAAATACTGCTTATATTGCACTGAAGAACCGCACAAAAATGGATTCAGCCGGTAACAAATTACCTCCCTTGCGCAGAAAATGACCAATAATTATGTATTTGGGCATATACAATTACGCTCGTCCTTATCCAATGGACAGTTTGAGTGAGTGAGTGAGTTTAGGTTTACTCAGCCGCATTCAGCTTTGTTCCAGCTATATGGCGGCGGTCTGTAAATAATCGAGTCTGAACCAGACAATCCAGTGATCAACAGCATCGATCTACGCCATTGGGATATGATGACGTGTCAACCAAGTCAGCAAGCCTGACCACCCGATCCCGTTAGTCGCCTCTTACGACAAGCATGGTTACTTAAGAACAATTCTAACCCGGATCTTCACGGGTACAATAGCCAGCTTGCTGACCCAGAGCATGCCAGCAGGGGCAGCAAGACAGCGAACCCCCGTTAACCCGGATGATACATTTCCCAATGAAATCACACAGAGCAGAAAAGCATCTGGTTAAACGAGGTATTAAAGAGCATTGAGCTATGCAGGTGTTATACCTTCCCAACAGGTATCGGTCAGATAAAAGTGTTTCTGGATTAACGGTGGTAGATTGTTTATGACATTAACGTCGGTTGATATGAACGATTGTATCTTGTGTGTAAATCGCAAGGCACATGAAGGTAAATACACCAGATGGAACACGAAACACACTATGGAGGAACACGAGTATCAAATGTCATTTGATCATCAAGTCTGTCTTTATAAGATCATTTATGAGAGATGAAGTATTCTCCTGGACCAGAACAGCAGAATACAACTTTGTAGATTTTGTACATGTTTAAAGCCCTGTACGGTGGCCTTCACTTCCTGATAAGTAGAATTGAACAAGCACTTTGCTGTGTAAACCCCTGGTTTATACACTTTGTGATAGGGTCAACACTGAACTGACGTACACGTGTTCGATACACCAGGGTGTTCGATACATCAAGGTGATCGATACAACCGGGTGTTCGATACATCAAGGTGATCGATACACAAGGGCGTTGGATACATCGGGGAAAATTCTTGGTTGACAGGAGCATGGATATCAGGCATAGGTGTGTGTGATGCATGGAAGTGTCCTACACAATGATGTCGTCAAACCTCCCTGTAGCACTGGTAGCCGAGGTAGTACCAGCAGCTGCCCCAGACGTCCCAGACGTAGGGTTGGATCTGTACTGTCAGTTTCAGTTTAGCACGTTCCGCCTTTGTTGACATTGCAAACAGAACTTGCTGGTCCGAGTTGCTCAGATTCAGGTCCAAATAATGCTCCACGGCCTTTCTGTAATCCTTAATGAACTGGCGAAACACGCCTTTCTCAGCGACAGAAAGACCCCCTCCAACCCACACGTACATATTTTTAAAAATATCTTCTGGCCGTTCCTCCATTGAATAGTCTAGATTGACTTGATTGAGAGCTATTTTCTTCTCGTCAAAGTTCCGTGGAAGTGTCAACCGGAAGTCCCTTTTTCTGCTTGTGATTAACCGGAAGTAACCAACATCAACCCACATGTAATATTTGGTATGGAAGAAGTCACTCTCTATAGCTTTCTCAACACACGAGTATTTTGCATTTTGAACACATGGATATTCTGGAACCACTGTATTGGGTTGGTATTTTGGATACTTCGGGTCAGAGTATATGTTACGGACTTTGTCCAAATGGTCAAACGCCCATAATTGTTTTTTCTCAATTTTGATGATTTTTGTAATGTTCATCAAGTGTTGTCGCATGTCCGTGAACAGACGGACAAACTGGTCGAGTCGGTGTACACAACCAGAGGGTTCCTTAGATGCTCGTACACAGTGGCCCACTCCAGATACAACGTGGGACCGAACACGGTTCCTCGGTCCCCTTGTTGAAACGGCCGAGGTTGAGGGTAGGCGGTGACCACCGTGACATCGGGTGGTACTCGTACATCTCCGTCAAATAGCGGAAACGTCCGGAGTGGGATGAAGCCAAGTATGCATGGTGGTTGCTGTAATGAGAATGATAATGAATTAATCGATGGAAATAAATCATGCAAAAATCTACCCGATTCATTTTACTGTATATCCAGATATCGTTTTTATTATATAGGTAGCATTTTCCTGTACCACGATTGGTCAAAAGACCGTCACATGATTGACTACAAAACACGATACTGACTTGAGTTTTCTGATAAATTACGATATTGACTTGGGTTACTAAAATTAGACAAGGAATCCCGTACGAAGGGGCTTCCCCCGCTTTTCAGCCAATCAGATCACTCGGATAGATGGCACAGTGTGTGCATTAAAAGTTTATGTTAAAACCCGTTTCTCTTTCATTATATAATAAAACAATTATAGACTCTTGTAGAGGTCGATATCGGTTTTATGGACCTGAAAAACAATATCGACCTCGCAAGCTCGGTCGATATTGTTTTACTCAGGTCAATAAAAACCGATATCGACCTCTACAAGAGTCTATAATTGTATAATGTCATTAGCTGTAATTTCTATTCCTTTGTTACTCAGCGTCGTTAACATGAAAATCAGATCTTTGTTCTCTGTTCCTAAAGAGTGAGCGAGTGAGTTTAGTTCTACGCCGCGTTTAGCAATATTCCATCATGTTTACAGCGGGAACACCAGAAATTGACTTTCCCCTGTGGGGCATCGAACCTTTGTTTTCGGCGTGACGAGCGAACGCATTAATGCATAACCACTAGGCTACCCAACCGCCCCACAAGTGAACGAGAGTACGGGTGTACGTAGTACAACGAACAGCGTCTAACTGAATCCACCGTTCCTCTCTTAAACCAATAAACCAGTGGGAGAAAGTGGGTCATAACGGTCGACATTAGCGGTCGACCCGTGACGGTCCGGGTTAGAATATTGATCTTCAGTGAGTGAGTGAGTTTAGTTTTACGCCGCTTTTAGCACTATTCCAGCAAAATCACGGCGGGGAACACCAGAAATGGGCTTCACATATTGTACCCATGTTGGGAATCGAACCCAGGTGTTCAGCGTGACGAGCGAACGCTTTAACCACTAGGATCAGGTGAGTGAGTGAGTGAGTGAGTGAAGTAATACGCTGCTTTTAGCAATACTCCAGCAACATCACGGCGCCAGAAATGGGCTTCACATATTGTACCCATGTGGGGAATCGTACCCTGGCCCTCCGAGAGACCAGCAACATGTGATGATGATACTTACAACAGAGAACCTGACACACACGATGAAAAGAAGGAATCCGACTAAGATCTTCAAACAGCGTCGCCAGGTTTGTCTGATTATCATAGTGCATCCGAACGTCGACATCCTACAGAAAACACAATACAGAATATACAATTAGTGAGTGAGTGAGTTAAGTTTTACGCCGCTTTTAGCAATATTTCAGCAATATCACGGCGGGGACACAAGAAATGGGCCTCACACATTGTGCCCATGTCATGGGGTTCGAAAAAGTTTTAAAATCACCATAAATACATGTAAATTATAAAAACCTGTCAACGAAGGACAGTAAAACCAACTAGAATATCACAGTGTCAAGAAATAAAACTAGCATCTCTCTCTAAAACTTGATTTCAAATTAGGACAACACAGTATTAAAAAAACGGGCTATAGATCGCCAACAATTGAAGGTAGATCACTATATAAGGGACCATGGGGACTTACAGTGCCTTTGCTACTTGCATGGACCCTAGTTGGATTTATACCATCCCTTCAGCCGCTGGCGATGGTTGGATGAGAAAGACTAAGGAACACAATGTGGTATATATAGAGATTATTACATTCGTGACCAACTCGTGTTATTCCGGGACAAGCCAAATAGCGCCTCGTGCCCCTCTGGAAGGATTTCATATTGGCGTATGAACATCAGAACTACTTTAAACAGGAACAATAACTCTATTCCTGTTTCATTCCAATGGTAGTTAATATCACCGAAGTACTCATACATTGTATTGCTGGTTTTGTTTGTAAAGAATTAAACCTCCTTGATACAACTAAAAGAAGGAGAAAAACATATTTGTTAAAGACATATTCTGACGTAATTATTACCAGATGTTCACCTTATATTTCCAATTATATTTCTGAAAAGGGTTTAATAATCACAAATGGGATTTGTTTTATTATATATGCAAATAAGATTTATAAAAGTACACAGCTTTATTAAATCCCGAAGCAGAAACTCAAATATGACTTTAAAATATTTCTCAAACTGAACATACGTGTAACCTTGCTGTCTTACCCCAAGTGGAATTTAAAATGAATTCGCTGAAAGATATATGAATGACCAATTGCAAAATAAAGTTAGACTAAAATATTCACAGAGATGTGAAATATATGCCAATGTTAAAGATTAAAGTTGATTAGTTTCATACAGATATAATATTATTGTTTTGAAACTCGTAGCGATTTATAATTACATTCTCTACAACTGTTGGAAGAGCACGTACAATTACCACAACAAGCCCACAGGATCGTCAGAAATACACTCAGTTGGACCAGTGAGAGCCGTTATGTCAACAAACGCACGTTCGTGTATTTGAATCTTTCACCGTCAATCCCATGATTCTTATCAAAAAGTTCACATAAGACAGCACAATTCTGTTAGCTATGCTTTTAGTACTTTCAATATGACGAAACATATTTTTATTATTTTTTAAGCAATAACATAATGCCACAAAGGATTTAAGTAGTCGGGATTATTTTTATCAAAGCACCGCAACCATTACGCGCGTTCTGATTGGTTTGTCGTATTTTCGCACATAACAAGCATCAATAGGGGGACGAGTCTTCTTGGAGGTTACGGAAAGGTGCGAGTGGTGACGAATGAAGTACGGACGCTACTGAAGTCCCTTGTTCCGCGTTGCGGCGGTGGACAAAAAACTCTTGGCAACCAAATTTTATTTTGAGACGCATTTGTCGAAATATTGCCATTGGTGTGACGTAGTGGCAATGGAAAACTCTACCGCCATATACCAATACACATCGATTCATCTGTTCACTTGGCAATCCTCCAGAAACGAATCCTATTTCAATACAAACAGATTCATTCGGAGAATCAAACCGATTAATTCATTCGTTGTGTAAGCATAGCCAATGTCGTCTCCATGACAACGGATGAAGCCAAAGTCCTAATTCCCGAGCTCACCAATGTGCAGAGTGGAGATAGAGACTGTGAACCGTTCTGGGGAATAATACACTCAATCAATAACCACTTTCCATATAGCGACAAAATATGTCAAATCACGGAACAATGTCATGCCGCCGAAACAGGTTCTCTCAATACGAACACAGTTTAACTATTGTCTGGTCTGGTTTTTGCAAGAACTGCAGTTTAGAGCACGTACATTTTTAGCAGTGCTGCACTAAGTGCCGCAGACTAACACTCAGTCTCTGAATATATATAACGTTGATAGTAACAAATAATCAGGTTTAATTTGAAAAGGAGTCCCAGTGAGGCGGAACCTGAGGAAATCTAGATTTGCTCCATCAAAGGCTTTGGCTGGGCAGAAGGGGAGACATATAATGTGTTTTAAAGAGCTGTGAGAGAACCCTAGCGGTTAAAGCGTTTGCTCTTCACTCCCAAGACCCGAGTTCGGTTCCCCATACTGGTACAACGTGTAGCCTTTTCTTGGGTCCTCGCCTTTCTAGATTGAGTTACTGCCCTAAACGGTGTCAACTTGTGATTCTGCCAGAAAGTAATGAAATAGATGCTATTCAATTATGATAAGAATAGTATTAAGGGCTTTTCGCCTAATGCCGATGTTGTACATGTGTCAACTCGTATATGAGTGAGTTTAGTTTTACGCCGCACTCAGCAATATTTCAGCTACATGGTGGCGGTCTGTAAATAATTGAGTCTGGACGAGACAATCCAGTGATCAAACTCGTATATGCGTCGATAGGGGAATTAGCTCGGACAATAATACCTTGACGAAGACGAAGAAATACGTTGAGTTCAGACTTCTTTAGTTGATTATACAGTACCTGATAAACAAGTATACATGAACGAGGTGAGCAGAGTTCCAGCTCAACCCCAGGGCGTTTCCTACAGCGACATTATCCTGCTCGCGGTCGCCCCTACACCCGACTGGTTGACAATATAGATGTGAGCATATATACAGTTTTTGACAACAATGGACAGGCGAAGACTCAATAATGGACAGACAGAGAAACAATAGCAGTTCCTTGGACCATTTGAGGCGATGGCAGGCACGACCAAGGGGGATGACCAATTAAGGCTATAAATGTTTTAAATAGTAATTAAAAGAAGTGACAGTGGCTGACAAGACAATGTACACTTCGGTAGTGATAAGGATTAAGTATGCAGATTAGCGTCATATACATAAATACAATTAAGTCTCACATGGCTTGGCTACATAGTTTTTGGTCTTTAAAAATATTTGGACGATGGCTGTCCTGAATTAGACGCTATGACACATGCCATGGGTGTAATTTCGTATATATGCCATTTCGTTGTCAGTTCAACAGTTATATGCACCAGAATCGTAGCACCCAATTTCGTATTTAAAAAAAAAAAAATCTTTTTGATGTAACCACGTGCTGCTGATAGTGTGCACTGCCCTGCCCTGCCCTGCCCTGCCCTGCCCTGCCCCGCCCCTGGGATAATATCAGATATATCCTTGATAATTTGTCTTTTTGTTTTTGACATCCTATTGTTCCTACTTTCACTTTAGAGATGACGCCAGCTATTCCTAACGAGACAATACGTCGAGCGTTCTGGAGCAGTTTTTGTAAACGAG